CCTGCCTACCATCAGAGATCAGAAGGAAGATGAGACTGACATTCCTATAAAAGGAGTCTTTCTTCCTTTTGCAGTCAGGTGGACATTCCTACTCCTGATATCCCAGGTAAAAATTGACAGCAAATCATACTTTCTGGATTATTTAGCACTTTTATTCATAATTATACCTATGCTTTCACTTCCTCCACATGTTTATCAATTCCACCTTACAACACTAGACCACCTTCATTCGCATCTATTACACCCTTCTTCTTTCTTGTTTCAGATATATAATACATGTATTTTACTTCTTCCATCTCATCCATTAATTTATTCCCTTTACTACTTACTCCTATTCCATTCCAAGTTGCAGTCTTCCATGAATATTGGTCAGCGCAAAACAGACCCACAGATATTGACGTCTGTCATCCATTATGGCTTGATAAACTGAGGGATTCACAGAACACTTCTTAGAAAGGCAGAAAAGGTGTGGTGTACATTACCAACCTTAAGTGAATTTGTGCCATATGTAGCTATTTCACTAATGATGAGCAGTTGGTCAGTTTGGAAATATTTTGGCCCATATGCCGCAAGTGAAACCAAAGCCCAGATTTACCCTAAAACTTCTCATATTATTCTATGCCAGATCTCTAATCTAGAGGCTGCCTTGAAAGTCAACATGCTGTTGCCTGCATCCCAATCAGGAAGAATTTTCAGTGTAGTGACATTCATGCATAAACCTCCAAGGAGAGGAAACTAAACTCATGGCTGTGCCAAAAGAAAAATTACTGACACCAGCACACTCTTAGTTTAGCCTAAGAGTTATTTTGAGGCATATGCTACTCTGAGCTTTCCTTCCTCTGAGGTTTCCATTAATAAATTCAAAATATTTTAGCATATCATATATAGTTAGCTTTGTAGCTACGTTTTCCTGGAACACTTCTGTGCTTCATAAGTCACTCAGTTTGAAGAACTGAATGTTCAAGAATACTTAAATTCCTAATTAAAATGAAAACAATATATTCCAAAATACTGATATTTCTTGGTGCTTCTGCTAAGGCATACAACAGATAACGTTCAAAAAGCTTTAGTCTCTTCTGTCCTTGAAGTCACAGTGGTAACATTGAACCATGAAGGATGAAGACATTATCATGATAGACAAAGGTAAAATTATGGTTGCATTGCATGCCATGCTGCCTTCTTTATGTTGCCATGTTACCCAGCAAGCTGCTAGGGGCCATGCTGATCTCCTCTCTCACTCTCTGTCACCTACTTGCTATCATCATATCATTTCTTGATGAATCAGGGACAGCTGCTGAACCTTTGGAACTCAAATTTGTCTTTAACTTGCTTCAGTAATTTAAACAGATAGTGAGGAAAGACGTGAAATGATTTTTTATACAACCATATCTTGTATTTGTGAATTCCCAGTACTATATTAAACATTTATTAGAGTATATTGCTCCTTTTTGAAATATAGCACTATAATAGAATGATGATTGGGTTAAGAGGAACTTTTAAAACCTTGCTTCATATTAACTCAGAATACCTAACATAGATAACAATAATAACTCAAAGAACTTGGGTATTTTACCTCCAAGATAATGCATAGTCTAGAAAATGTATAAATGCATAGATTATTATCCCCTAGATGTAGTCACATGTGAGTGTACATACTGGAGGAGGAAATGTAACCAAGCATGCTACAAAAGTTCTCATTTCTTGTTCTTCCATGAGGCAGGGGAAAGGACAGTGGTGTGGAAGAGAAGAAGTTTGTGCATCCCATTTGAAGACCTGTACCTAAATCATCCTGATGATCCTCCACTGGCTTCTCAGTAAGTTTCCTAAAACCATGACAGAAAGGGAGTGGGAGACTTCACGGTTGAGAAAGCAGCTTCTTTTATTTCTTCCAGTGGTTGAATTCATGTGAACATTGCCTTGAAATTCGATATTTTTTAGAAAATGTTTCATGTTGATATTTCATCTAGGAACGTAGATATTTTGCTGTTCTGTTTCTCTTTCTGAGACCAGCATAAGCACTTACTCAGAGACATGATTGGGGAAAAAATATCTTTCTGCATCAAGAAAGAACTGCATCAAATAAGAATAGATTCAGACTGTGCACTGCTATATAAAGAACTTTTGGAAATGCATGGTTTTAAACTGTTCTTATACACCTTTATTTTTCTTACAAATGTAGAAGCAACTTCTGTTCATTATAAGTCATTTGAGCAAATAGATTTGATGCTGTTTATTAGGTTAAGAGATTTATGAACAGTCATTCTTCTTGCAGTTTTTAAAATTATTATTATTATTTTTGCAAAACACTTACTGGATTTTTTGCATTGATGTCATTGCAGATATTTTGTGTGCAACACACTGCTTTTGGGTTGAAATTATTAGCAGTCAACATTTGGAGCTCTGCAACTCTACAGGTGAATTTTTTGTACAGTCCATACAATATATAGTAAGTTTCTGCCTCTAAGAACATCCATCAATATTAAAGATTTCCTGAGGGATAAGACAGACACACAGGCAGGCATAATATCTGAATGTGACATAGGTATTCTGATGTCTGCAGGTTAAGAATTTAGATGGGATGTCACCAAAGACACATAGATCATTTTTAGCCTTCACATTTTTGGATGCTGTGAGGAAAGGCTATTATTGAGATGAAGGGAAAAATGACAGCAGGTGCTCTGAAAAAAAAAAAAAATCTTTATATATTTGATTCCATGCCCATCTTTAAGGGAAACCACATGGCAAGCTGTCTATTATGTCAAAGAAGAAATGGTGTGTTGACTGTAATGTTTTATCAGCCCAAATAGCACTGACCTATATGTGATATATATGGTTGGTTGTATATTATATTCAGTTATTTGTTTTACGGAATGTACATAAAGTTCTGCCAAGCACATAAGTTATTCTATTTTATTCATTTTGCACTAGTCATTGTGATCATTCACAGCTGAAGAGGCATTTCCATTCTTTAAAACTCAGTGCTTGGGTCAATTTAAGCATCATGTACAACCCCTGGAGATTAAAACTTTTCTGTCTTGAAGTTCATTGCTCTTTGGACTGATACAACATTATGGTCAATATGCCATTTCTTCTCTTATCACTACAGTGATGAAAAGATAAAGAATGAGACAAACTTTACAGAAATCTGATTCCATGGGGTTAAACAGATTTTCTGCAGAACAGTCCTTGGCAAGATCTAGGGATGAGAGAAAAGAATTATCTCATTTTGCATTTTAGAATGATATCCAAAGCAAAATATGCTTATTCAAAATTAATGCATTTCTAAGATTTGGCACGCTCATTGGAAGGATTGATACTGAAGCTCAAGCTCAGATACTTTGGCCACCTAATACGAAG